TGTGTAATAGAGAAAATGATTAAATATGTTTTAATTAATTTTATTATGTTTATATTCAAATTAGATTTTTAAAAATCTTAGTCCTACTCTCCTTTTGAATGCAGCCCGCAGCAAATAAAGCAAAGTCTAGTATGGCCCTCAGCCCCCCAACAGGGTGTGTGTGTGTGTGTGTGTGTGTGTGTGTATACTATATACTAATAATAAATAAATGATTGGTAGCTGGAGAAGGTAACAAAATGCAAAAAAATAACATGTATTTTGGGGAAAAAATTAAAGGAGGACTGAATATAGCCCCAGTAGTCAAAGAATCCTAGATCCAGTGGGAAGAGGAATAGAATGGAATGCCTTGGATAAGGACATGGCTGGAATGCATCACATTTTGTGACAGGTCCTAAAAGCTAACATTTCACAAAGTAGCAGGGCACTGTTTCAAGGGCTGCTCTTGCAATGTCTTTAGCCTAAAGCTATACAAAGAGACTATTCTAACCGAATAAGACTTTTAAAATAAAATATTGTATCAAGTCAATCCTCACTTCAGAGAAGACCCTATAGAAAAAATGGAGTAATAGGATCTAACTACTATAATTATCAAAGCAATCTATGATTTTATAATCAATAACTTGCATTTCAGCAAGCTCACTTCTCATTTTAGCTAACAAGTAACAAGCAGTGCCTCTGAGAAGGTTACTAGCTGACCAGGAAAAACAATAAAAATATGGTTCTGGTCTATTCTTTTGTCACTATCAACAGCTTGCTATGCAGGGTCAAGTTTTTGACAGCATGGAAACAGACATCATTTTCACTAATTTCCTGCCAAACATCTATGAAAAGCATGATTACAGGGGTCAGGGTAACATGCAGCTTTCCTCATGTTGCAGAACTTCATCCCAACAGCTCCAGCCAACATACCCAAAGGTGACAGATACTGGAAAAGGCACCTGGAGGGCCAAAAGTTGTCCATCCCTGTGCTAAAACAAGAGAAGCCTCAGCCTGCATTCCAGTCCCGCTTCAGAAATATACCTACTGGATCCAGTGAGAAGGAAATAAAGGTGCCAGCTCCTCAGCAAGAAATACTACTGCTTTACAGTGTAGAACTACTACTAAATGTATGATGACGACTTTGGGTAATGAGAATGTAAATTGCTCAGCAGTGTTCAGTTCATTACAGGCACAACCACTGAGAACTACAGTATTACATAAATAAGTCATTACAACTACAGAAAATTGGCATTTATTTTCTCAGCAATCAGTGTGGGATGGCCCCTAGGCTGTAAATTGTTATTGATGAAATAATCTCAAGGTTTCATCACCACCAGAATAAGAATTTTCCAGGCTATTTTAGAAATAGGAAAAAAAATTAGACTGAATTACCATTGGGATAAAACTCTTTCCCAATATGCAGTACTATTCTAAATTTATAGAAAAATGGTTCTATTGTTCCAGACTTATATTGTTTAAAATTGTATGCATTAAGAATTGGTTTGAAAGACAGATGATCATTTAGCTGTTTTAGCTTCTTTCTAAACAGAGTTTTATACCAATTCAAGAACTTGTAAACACTGTTTAACAAAAGATGAATGTAAAGGAACAATAAAAGCTATCTATATACATACTGTGACACTAGATGCTTCTTTCAAGATCATTAATCTGTGACAGAAAGAGAGGGTACTATGGCTGCCCAAGGAAATGTTGTTTAGAGTCAGAATATTTGATTCAGTACCATTGTTGTTAATAGAAGTTCTGTAATTTATTCCATAATTTTCTTTTCTCCCTTTTTGCAGTTAACAAATACTTAGCTGAGCTTGCAACCTCAAAAGTAACCTTAGGACCTAAATCTGTATCTGAGCAGTCCAATGCTCAGGTTTGAGCATTGTTACCATTAATTAGGTAATAATGACCTAAGCTTGTAAGAGCAAGAGAATTTAATTACTGTACATTAGCCTACAAGAGCACTGCTTACCCTAATCTCTCCAAACATGCAGATGAAATTATATTGCGTTGGCATCCAGTATCAACCACAACTTGCAATTCCTTCCCAGCACACTGTAGAGAGAAATATAGCATTTTTGTAAAAAATCAGGTGATGGTAAATCTGTATTTCTATTGTTTTTTATACAGTTCTAGAAACAAGTTATATCTCCACCCCCACCCCTAAGTATTTGGGACACAGTAACTGTGTCCACATAGAACATTTATCCACACTTGACTTAACCAAGGGTTATTCAGTTTTCCCAATAAACTTAAAGCAAAGTACCACAAATTACAGCAAGGGCCGAAGATGCACAAAACACTTGACTAAAATCTAGTTGGATACTTTGTGGTCCAATGGGTCATACAAATCCAATCTTTGGTTTTACTTATTGATTAGATTTTTATCCTGCTTTTCACTTAGGAGCTCAAGGCAGCATATATAGCTCACAACAACTCTGCCATAATGGAGAATACATGTAGCTCAGGGTTGACTTGTTGGGATCCTGATGTTCTCTGAGCTTGCGTCTCTTCCTGCAGACCTAGCCTGTTAATGAAACCTCTGCAGAAGAGAAGCATGCTTAGGAAACACCAAGAAACCAACATCACAACAACTCTGTGACATAAGCTGAACTGAGAGACAATGACTCACCCAAAGTCCACCCAGTGAGCTTATACTATTAAGGGTAGAGTTTTCCCAATTAAAATGTACAGTGGTACCTCGGGTTACGAACACCTCTGTTAACGAACTTTTTGTGTTACGACCAGCTCCAGCTGCAAAAATTTACCTCGGTTTGCGAACTCCGCCTCAGGGTACGAGCAGGATACGTGGCCATTTTCCCTCCCGTGACACGGTCCATGGCCATTTTTCCGCCCCTGACACGTGGTCATAGGGAGGGGGGCTCTCCCTCC